CTGTTTGAAGGACTAAATGTGCACTCACCTTCTCATAGTCCGATGGCACTTCACGTAGCATATTCTGAATGACTTCGGGCGCTCCCTTGACGGCGCCAATATGCTTCACTTCGTTGGAGTAGGGCATCAGGTAGCCAGCAAGGACGGACATGCGCTTGAGGGCCGACGAGAAGTGATAGCGTTGGATGATCTTCAAAGGCTTCAGTTGCGCCCGCTTCGGTATGACACTGTCCATCTTTGTGAGCGTCCAATCGACGGCCGCCAAGGTGGCTTTCTCCAGCGGATCTCCCACCAGTCCATCGTCTAGCAGGGCCAGCGAGTGGCAGCAGGCCAGCACCTGGACAGTGTTCGCCTCTGCCTGCTCAATGGGCACACAAGTGCCATTCGAAGTGAGCCCCGCAATGCCCTCCACCATAAGGTTGTCCGTGGTCAGCGTTCCCGTCTTGTCGAAGCAGCAGATCTGAACCTTTCCGGCAAACGGAATGCGGAATGGTTCCGTACAGAATACAAACAATTTGGTCAACTGAATCAGCGAAGTATTGACGGCCAGGGTGAGCTCAATGGGCAGATCCGGAGGTATGATGGCAGTCAGAATTAGTGTGCACTCCAGGAAGAGCTTGTAGCGATTGCGCTCCAGATCCTCGCTGCCCTTGACCCACACATAGGAGGCGGCGGCCACAGCGAATACCATGAGGAAGGCAATAAACGCAAAGGTCTCCTTGTTGTTTTCCGTTGCGCGATTGGCACCGAACAGAATCGTGCGCAAGAGTTTGCCCTGCGATGTGTTGAATCCCGTCCGGATCACATAGCCAATGCAGCCACCATCCGGGGCACGCAGCGATTCCTTGGTGGGGGCCGTGTGCTGGACCACTTTGGTGCCACCAAAGAGCACAAACAGTTTGCCATCACCATCCACGTCCAGTTCGGTGTCCAGACTGTCCAACGACTCCAAAGATTCTTTCATCAGCGGCACTGATTCGCCCGTCAGCATGGATTCATCCACAATGCAGTTGCCACGCAGGATAACCAGGTCACAGGGCACAATATTATCGTTCTGAGAGCGCGTCACGGACACCAAATCACCAGGCAGCAGCTCGTCCGAGCCAATGTGGCGCCATTTGTTCTGACGAAAGGCATAGATCAGGTACGGTTTGTTGCCCATTTTCCGAATCTCGGACATGTTCCTCAGCTGCTGCTTCACAATGGTGCACTCAAAGGCAATCAGCATGAAGAGCGTGAACAGGGAGTAGTACCAGTAGTCGTCCATGCACCACAGCCCCACGGAGAATACTTGGAACACAAAGAACGGGGCCGTGGCGCGTTCGAGAAAGAGTTCGTGGAACTCTGGCACCACCATGTCCATCTCGTTATTGCCGTACGTGGTAGTGGCTCGCTTCACAGCCTCGTCTGACTCCAGTCCTCGGGAGGCGGCATAGTTTTTCAGCAGTCCATTGACGGGAAATTCGACGGCTCGGAAGGTTTTCCTATCCTCGTTCCACACATATTTTGTCTTCTGAAAGACCAGAAAATACTCTGTTGTGCCATCCTCCAGCTTGGTGGCGCGTATCGGAACTATCTTTGAGTTACCATTGTTCGCTGTGGGCACCACCTTGGCGAGGACATTCAGGGCCGGCAACTTCGTTTTGCGGCAGGTGAGGAAGGCCAAGACGTGAACGCTCCAGTAGCAGAAGAGTAATGTGAGAACGTGCAGAAATGCTATGGCTAGAACGGCTATGAAGCCGATGTCATTCCAGGCAATGGTCGAGTCCGCTGTAGTCTGGTTTGCCGACGAGATCAACTCCTGAGCGGTGGCCACAGCCACATCACCGCCGCCGTACACGTAGATGCATAGGTATAGGGCGGTCAGGTATAGCGGGACAAAGGGCAATACCACGCCGCTCAGTGGCGTTGGTATGCGCACATGTAGGGTCACATATTGCACCAGATCGTCCAGGTTGCCGGCCGTCGTCGCCGTCGCCCCGTTTTTAAGGAGCCTTTTGTTTGGATCGGTGTCGCCGGCAGCGCCTTCAGTTATTTCGCCTCTCGTACTCATGGGTTCAGCCTGACTCTTTCAGTCTCCGTATGTGTGTTTTCTTACAGATTAAATACGATTTTTTACAGAAGTTTCATAGCGGCAAAAATAAAATGTGAAAAAAATAAGCAACGTCGTCGAACCTAGAAAACTGTGTGCCAGCTGTGTGTCCTATCGATGTAAATATACATATATATCGATATATTGCATCAGCTGGGTATTAACGTTTGCCAACACTTTACTTGGAAACTTTACTTTACAGTTATTAATTTTATGTGTTTACACAAATCACAAATTCTATTGTTAAATCAGCCTGTTGTACATGTCTCTTTCCTATGCCTTTCAAATTATATATTTTCCTAAATATAAAAATGTAGCGAGCAATCTCCGCGAGATATGTCGCTAAACTCTGTTCATACACCATGTAGATTTTTATGTACATGCATACATTGTATTTACATTTGGATGTATGAAAGTCAACCAATAATTTTTAAACAAGATGTTAGTGAACGCGTTGAAAAATTGCATCAACTGGTAATTTCAAACATTTTAGGTCTGCGCCATCTATTAGAATTTGTAGCGAAATCTAATATATCAGTGGTAATAAAACCATCTTCATTAACCGATTAGTGGAAAACAAAAGTCCGCAAAAGATTTTTCGGAAAAGTTAAATAAAATATTAACTGAGTTGAACGTCCTGATGTTCACCAATCGTTACTTAATTAAGAGAAAGTCCCCGAAGATTTGACTATATCGGCGTAATTTACAAATACTCGACAGTGCTTATTTTAGTTCCCTGTCGTGGCCATGGCGTCGATCAGAAGCAGAGCACATGTTTGGTTAATCGGACAGACAAAGGACACGTTAAATTCAACAATTCTTCCGTCAATCCAAGAAGCACTAAAGTGCTCATTTTATTTCGAAAGCGATTTATTCCTTGAAAATCTTTTTATGTAGTTTTAATTTTAATTTGTAAAGACAGGAACTTAAAAGTATAACTGTTCACATTTGTTGTTCTTTTCTATGCACAGCCCTGGTACAGAGCACCGTCAGCCTCCTCTGTGTCAGGAAACGACTTGCGACTTTGGAAGGATCTCAAACAGTATGAAAATATCAACTGTTGAATTTGTATTTGTCCAAAGAGATAGTTTGGCTGGATTTTTTCAATAAAGGTATACGAAAATGAAACCAAATTTTCATTACTTTAATTGAAGAACTAACTGTGCATACAATACATTTTTAGTGTTGGGAAAATAGCAAACGGTATTTTTGCACAGGCTAACACAACACACACACACGCATTCACACGGGAATAGCTGATGGTGTGATTTTCGGCGGTAATATTCATTCATCGAGAGTATCCATGGGAGACTTCATGGATGGGTCAGTGGCTTTGCCAGCGGCAGCAAAGGCCATCTGTATGTCTGTCTGGGACTCGCGCTTAGGAGTAACGCGCTTGTGTTCAGTGGTGAAACTCACACTGATGCGCCCGCTGCCACGGACAGCGGACATTGGTGGACGCATCAGTGGCGTGGACAGACGAGCAGCAGCTGCCACTGGGGGAGTTGGTTGTTGCTGGTAGGAGGCGTTTGTGGGGGGACTGATAGTTTTCGTGGATGTCTCCTTTCGCACATCCACGACGAGCGCCTCGCGACGTGCATTATCCTGGAACTGTTTGACGCGATCCTTCATTTCTGTCTCGCGCTTGATTTCCTTTGAGATTTCGGCGCGACGCTTGTTATCGTATCGCTCCATGGCCTGCTGATCGCGCTGCTTGTTGCGCTCCACAATGAGATCGGCGATTTCCAGGCGCTTCTTCATGAGCGCCTCCTTGTCCAGCTTCTGAAACATCTCTGGCCAAACGCCCTTCTCCTTCTTCACCAGCACGATGCGGGCCTCGTTCTTGAAGATGCGGCAAAAGCTGAACAAAAATATAAGATAATTATTATCGGAGGAAGAAATGGAAGGTAAATCTACAAAAATTTACCTGGCCATCTCATCGATCTCTTGGGTCAGATGACGCTCAAAGAATATTGGTGGATTGTTGAACTTTAAGTACTGGGGCAGCAGGACAACGTCCGGCTTGCGTGTCACCAGACGGTTCAGTTCAATGGAAATTTTGATGTCCTCCTCGGTCTGCGATATCTGCACCATGATGAGCTTCGCTTCCGTTGCCGGTATGCTGTCGACTGAGCAATCGCCTGCTGCTGAAACTTATGTTATAGGCTGCCCGGAATTTGGGAGTGTTTGTTCAGGCTGACAACTGCGACAGGGCCAACCCTACAATGGCATACTACCCGCACAACTGTTCACTTGGAGTGCATATTACTTCGATTTACTTTAATTTGAATATTAACCAGTCTTCGAATAGCCACGCCGGTCGCCCAGTCTATCGACCAAACAACGATTGGCCATGCACCCCCTGATTGGGACTCGACCGGGACTTCACTCCCAGACACACACCACCTGTAACATTTTATGCATTTGCATTTTTTGGCAAGACAAGATAACGTGGCCTAGTCCAGGGCGCCAGCTAGGAGCCTGCTATGCTCCTACTCCCCTGATTGAATTAGTCGCAGTTCCAACACGCAAGGCGAATTCCTATTTGCATAGCACATGCCACTCAATAACAGTTTCCCTCGACATTGATTGGCAAACGGGTTAGTGTTTTATGGAGTCCATGCTATGACGCGTACATATTTTACCATTTACTTGACTTATTTGATTCCCTCCTCGATAATGTGCCTTGTAAATTAGAAAACTTTATGGGAATGACAAATGTTTTGATTTGTTTAGTTGGCGCGACCTTTCAACATTGTTTTATAGCTGACGAATGCAATGTTAGATTGCATTTGCCTGCACGAGAAGGCTATAAGAGCAGTAGACCAAAAGATTTCTTAACTTAAGCTCAGAAGGGGAACAATAGAACTCAAAGCTCATACCTAAAACTGTTGAATGAGTTCTCCTGATACATTTAAATGCCAGCCAAATGCTAGGGTTAAAATAATACATTTTAATTGGCATGAGGACCGTGGAAACTAGCCAAAATATAGTTATAAGAAGCAACGCGGTAGCCATGGAAACTTAGAGTTCATTCACTCTTTTCTAAAGGGTGATCACAACAAGCAGATGATTACGATACAAGAGTTTCGTGCATGCTGCTGTCGCTTGCTTATATTGCAATTGTTCCTATAAACAAAAAATTAGTGAAAGTAACTATGGATATAGTAGCTTTACAGAATTAATTACCAACTAAAAGGAAATTATTATTTCTTATCTTTTACAGAAACTACTGAGCATTGATGGTATTTATTGTACTTTCAGGCAGAACTTTAGCCACTTTGCGGGGCTCCTTAATGGTAGTCAGTGGACACTGCATCTCGCTCCAGCCCACTGGCACCATAGGCACACGGGTTTTGCGAGCATCGCTGGCATAGGCCACCACCACACCGAGCTCTGTTTCGGCAGTGGTTAGGAGAAATGATTGTTCCATTTGATTGATGACACGAGCCAGTATCACATCGCCCGGCTTGAAGGACTTGTATATGTCGACACGATCCTTTTCCGTTTCCCGCACATCCTCCTTTCGCAGTAGACCGCGATAGCTGCTCTCCAGCAAGACGTTTCGCACACAGAAGATGGCACATTTGGCGAACTTTGGTGTTGTGACCAGCACGCGGGCTGTGACGACGTCCCCAGTAGCCGGAATGGTCAGGTGGAAGCCCGGCTTGTGGACGCTCACAACCTGACACTGTTAAATGGAAAATCGGTTGCTTCAATTCATTGGCAGAGAACATAACCGGCTAACTTACGTTTTCTCCAGATTCTTCAATGTTGACGACCCCCGACTTGGAGGCGTATATATAGCCGTTCTGTTCGTACGTGCCTATGCCCAACACCACATTGTCCTCTATGCGGCACAAGCGTTCTCCTGGTAAGCACACAATTGTATCTTCGTCGCCTTCTGAGCTCATTTTTCTAAACCGCAATTTGTTTCTGCAATAATATAAATAATGCGGCAGAATGTCACATGTGAGTGCAGGGCTTATCGATACTATCGATACACGTGCTGCTGTCGCTTTCCAGTACTTACGCTTGTTGCTTTTCCTCGTTGCCCAGCACACAAACTCTTGGCGTGTTTAGGTTGCCGGTGGTGCCGCCAATAATTTATATTTTCCGGTTTTAGTTGTAATAAACTCCGAATTTCAACATGAATTTTAACATGAGCTATCGTGAGGTTACCACCAAAAACCTGAAGCCAGCGGACTGGACCGAAGTTAATATAAATACAGGTAGTTTTGTGCCAGGTAAAGACTCGAGAAACAATAACAATTCATTTTCTGTTGCCCCACAGAAACATTAAACACTCTTCAAGACACGAAAACATTTGAGATATCTGGCGGACATTGCTACAAAAATACCAATGTGCAGTACCGAAATCGCTTTATATATTGGTGAGTTTCTGCACGAACAAGTCGGTGCAGGTCCTGAATTATAATTTAAAATGTTTGCTTGAAGGCGGACTAACAAGGAGGTGCTGGAGCTCGCTGAGATCAGCCTGGATATATCGCTTGTGAGAAACCACTTGCGTATGCGCTTCACCGACTCGGCTGTGCTCAATGTCTCGCTTACGGAGCACAGCCAATCATTGACGCTGCTGGTCGTCACTGTCAGCAGTGTCCATCGCTATGTGTTCCCACTGAAGGTGGTTGGCACAAGCGAAGCCGCTGCCGCCGGCCCAGACGATCTGCAGTCGCAATCGATCTTCTATGACGTGAACGAAAAGATCGACGATCCGAGAGCCTTCTATGTTACGGATGGACTGGGCACAATGCCCACTGTGGCTGCTTCGTTTATGTCGGAGCAAGCTCAAGTGGCATACTTTGCCGTGGCCTACCAGAACAAGTTGGTGCTGCACGTCATGAACTGTGTCACTGGCACCACTGTAACGCACGAGGTCAAGGAACCGCATCTGATGCCTCGCTTTCTTTCCAGCATCGCGGGTGCTCTAACGTAGGTTTTGCCTCCTTTTTTTTATGCCAACAACCCACTTAATGTTTACTTGTTCTGCTATTTTAGTCGGCGGGCTGAATCTGTGGATGCGCCCAATTCCATGGCGTTCAGTGAAATCGATGGCAAGACGTATCTACTGGTTGTTTATAGGAGCAACGAGCTGCGCCTTTGGTCATTGGACACTATGCAGACAGTCTCAACCATTAACTGCTGTGGCGAGCCTCAAAGCTTACCGTCAGCACAAGGACGTGAGTGTTATAGTTCTACATTATCGCTCCTTCCAGCTGCTAATTAGTTTTTGTTTTCTCAGCGCAAACAAATCAAATACGAAAAGTAGACGATGAAAACTTTTGTGTATTCCTCTCACACGACGATGGAGCGGATTTTGTTTGCGTGCAAGTCGGTAGGTTGGCAGATGAAAATCCCAAGGGCCTAGAGTTGATTCTAAAGCAGCATGTTGTGGCGCCGCAAATGGATCTGGCTGATTTCGATGTCACCCTCACACACATTTGGGCGCTGTGGAGCAATGCCGAAGGGGATTTCAATGTCTCGACAATATATTTTGGCTCAAATCAGGCTATCGAATGGGTTTCCTCGGTGCTGGAGCCGCCACCAGATCGTTATTGTCTCACCATGGAGCAGGGCATTGATCCGCGCGAAGCCTACTGCTCGTACATCTTCCATCCGGGTCGTTTCGATCGTACCGTGATTATCAAGGCCTTATATGTGAGTAGAACAATTTCAGAAATGCAGATAAGTCTTGATTGCTTTCCCTCCCAATAGATGTTCCGACGCGTCAATTTGCAGTTCGATGTTAGGCAGATGTCGATGACCGTGCTCAAGGAGCAGGTGTGCCAGGCCGTCGAGGATGAGATTCAAAACGAATTCAAAGAGTTTGTGGTCAGTGACGAGGAATATTTGGAAATTGCCAGTCGCCTGTGGGACCATTTCTATTCCTGCTGCGAGCAATACCACATCAAGTACTCGGAGCCCATTGGTTTGTCCATTTTGGGTCCCATGGATGCGGCATGCCTCATTAGGCGTCAGTCTTTTGCCCTGCTGCGTCCATGCGAACCGCTTGAGCATATTCTGCTCATTGGAGAGCAAACCAAGAATGTGGCAACAATTCTGTCTCCATTCTTTCGCAACGATCACACCATGTCGCAGGCATTCGCTGAACTAATAAGGATTATCACTCTGGTGGAAAAATCACTGCCAGAGGATGTCAAAATGGAATTTGATAAGAAACTCTATCAGCGCGAGACGCCCATTAATGTGGTGGCCAAACTTGTGTCCAGAAGCACCGAAGATGATGACATTTGCGCTACCCTGCCGCAGGACACGGTTGAGGACCTGAAGATACAGCTGCAGAATGTTACCAATCTGCAGGAAGCTGTCGATATGCTGCTGAATATTCTTTGTGTAATCGATCCGGAAACACCGCCGCCACAAGGTACTGCTTCACAGCTCAGCTTGATTGCCATATTGTTTTATCATGCGTTTTCCTTGTATAGATTATGGCAGATCCACGCGTTTCTTGCTGCCAACTGGCGCATTGCTTGGCAGCGAGTATGGAATATCCATTCTAGCCGAGACATTCAAACAAATGGCTTTGATACGGTAAGAAGGGAAAATGATATATAACTCCACCTTCCCTTCATTTAATTTGTGTATCCCCTTGCAGATTTTCCGTCTGTCGCGATCTGCTGATTTTGCTGTACATTATGACGGAACAGCACAGTAGTTTCTTGGTTACTGTCAATAACTATATGCAATCGTACTATACACTCGTTTGGATGGCCGTAACGCCCATTTCCTCGAATACACCAGCTGGATTGTAAGCCAAATCCTTTATCATTCAACAATTTGTAAACGTTATTATGTGCATTACAGTGAGGCTTCCATACAGCGCTTGAGTCGCGCACAGCTCTTCGATGGATATTCCCGACCGTATTCCAGCCACGTGCGTGGCTATGGCAATGATCAGACCACGCTGCTCTGTTTGTTCCTGCGTTCCAAGGGTCTGTTCAGTGCTCTGTCCAGGCTGCTGAAGGAGTCGGGCATGGAACTGGAGACAGAGCCAGCGACATTGAGACAAACGCTGCTGCAGCTGGTCACCTACACCAATCAGATGCTGTAAGTGGAAGCACTTGCTCTCGAAGCTATATATATATATATACTATATTTATGTGTCTGTCTGCCTTTCAGTTGGCCCGATTCTCCCAGCTATGTATTCCCAGAATGGCTCTTTGGCACATGCCATCAGATAATTGTGCAGGACTATGTGCGTCTGCTGGCCGTCTGGTGTAAAAAGAAAGCCGATTGTCGTGAGTAGAGTGTCGAGACTGATTGTCCCTTCAATGAGATTTTCTCTCTCTGTATTGCAGGTACCTTCATGCTGGCTGTCTCGCTGTTGGATTGCGGCGAGACACAAAAGGCATTGCTACTATTTCAGGATGTGGCTGAAAAGGTGCTCGATGATGCATTCCTCATCGAACATGTGCTGAAGAATACACCGCTGCACGGCCAGCTGAAAGAGGGACTCGAACTGGGCAATGATGATGGACCATCGGCGGAGCACAAGAAGCAGGCGTTGGTTCATTATTATCTAAAGGTCATACAGCTCTTTGAGCAGTATTCGGCCGTGGACTACATCATTCAGCTGGCCCTTAAGGCCATAAGTAAGCTGGCGGACCATGATCCACAGCTGCCCATGTTCCAGTCGATCGTTTTCAACAATCATATGCATTTGGGCCACTACGAGGAGGCGTATCACGCTCTAATCTACAATGCCGACATATCAAGGCGCAAGGATTGCCTGCGCCAATTGGTGGTAACGCTGTTCCAATGCAAGAGCCTGGACCTGCTCATGAAGCTCCCATACAGTGGCCTACAGAACGAGTTTGAGAACATTGTGGAGTCGCGTGCCCGCTCGTTGAGCATCGATCAGAATGAGGTCTATAACTTTTTGTATGCCTTTCACACGAGCAAGGGAAATATGCGCAAGGCCGCCACAGTCATGTACGAGCAGGCCATGCGCTTGCAGGTGAGCAGCAATGCACCCGAGGCACTAGAAAAGCGTTGCTCCTCGCTGCTGGTCTGTGTAAATTGCCTGAATTTGGTGGACAGTCGGTACAGATGGATAGCCAAGCCAATCATTGGCGACGAGCGAGTGCTGGCCATGGATGTGGATAATGAAGATGATTTGCCGCCAAACGATGATGAAGTGGTGGTCCTAGAGCTGGCCGACATACGTCGCGAACTGGTGTACGTTGAGGCATTGAAGGAGCTCTCCTACTATCGCAAGGACATAGCCGCCTATGAGCTGACAGGTGCCGAAGAGCTATCCTATCTTCTAACCAGCTACGGCCTATACACGGCTGCCCTGAAACTGTCACGCGGACACTCGTTCCCTGTGCAGCCAATATTTGAGAGCCTGGCCGCTGCCTGTGTGAGCTCCACCGAAGAGAAAGCCACCGATTCCTGGGCCTGGCTGCAGAACAACGATCTAGCAGGTGCATAAATCTGAAAAACTATGAAAATTCCATTGATTTAATCTCTCAGTATCCTCTTTCTAGATCTGCCACATCGTAATAACGCCGCAGATATGGCATGGTCCCTGCTGCAGAAGCTGATACTCGACAACGAGCGCAAGGACTCAACGCTCATACGCAAGGGCGTCGTTAACCGATTGCTCACGATGAACGCATTCGTGCCCAAGTGGCTGTACGACTCCTACAAGCTGAGCAATTCCCGCGAGCTGTTGCAGCTGTATGTCAAGCACAATCGTTTGCTGGAGGCCGCCGATATGGCCAGCGAGATGATCTGTGCCATGCTTGGCGCCGGCAGCGAATACTTTGATTTCCAGCAGTCGATCAATGTGACAACGCCGCAGCTAGCATTCCCCATCAACACGATTGATTTGCTGCTGCACGCCCTCAAGGTGAATGGCAAGGAGCAATCAGAATACGAAGTGGCTTGCGTGCAGCTGGAGGATGATGTGGCCAGATACATTGAGACAGTCAGCCGCACCACAGCGGATAAAATGAAAATGGCCATTTTGCGGAATCGCGAAGAGCGCCAGCAGCAGGCACTACTCCAGTAATTCAGTTTTATTCAGTTGGTAGGTTCATAAAATGTATAAGTTTTTCGAATTAAATGTGTTAAAATTCATCCATGAGCAGTTCGGACGTGAACTTTTTGTAGATGCTCATAAATTGGGCCACAAATGCCTCCAGGTGGAAGATGTGCTTGGCGCCGTTCTGCATTCGATGCTCGTATTCGGTGGCCAGCTCCAACGTCTTAGCCTTGATGGACATATCACAGTTGTTCACGAGATGCTCGACAAGACCGCGGAATATCAGATTGGGTGGCACGCCCTGTGTCAGCAGTTCGTACAGGCGATCGCGTATCTTTTCCAGTTTGGCGGGCGTCTGCTCGCTGATGATCTGTGAGGCAGTTTCGCGCAGAAAGACCTGCCAGTCCAGGTCGGGGATTTCCTGTTGCGCCGTAAACGGTGACTTGGCCACCTTGGCGGCCTCGAGCATGAGCAGAGCGCGCCTCAAATTGCGCTCCGATTTGTCCACCACCCGTTTGGCCAGCTCGACGGGCAGGACCAGGCCCTCGCGCTTGCAGGTGCTCTGCAGAATGGCCGTCATCTCCGCTTCAGACGGCGCAGCCACACGAATGCCCAGGCAACGAGATCGTATGGCTGGAATGATGCGAGATGTCGAATTGACAGACATTATGATGCGGCATGTGGCCACGTACTTCTCCATGGTGCGACGCAGAGCGTGCTGCGCATCCTTGGTCAGCTCATCGCCCTCCGAGATGACAATCACTTTGAACTCCCGCTGGCCATTGATCTCGATTTGGTGGGTCTGTGCCACCTGTTTGATCAGATCGATGACCACCGTCCGATCGTACATGCCCGCATCCGAAGGGTTCACCTCCAAGTGGTAGTTGCTGCTGACAGTCATTACCTCGACTTTGCGATTGGATGGCGTTGTAAAGGTCATTGTTTCGCTCCTCAGTCGCTCCACGCCGGCTCCATACATTTCCCGAAGCAGGCACATAATGCGCGTCTTCTTACCGGCGCCCGATGGCCCGTAGAACATAAGGTGAGGAAAATCGCTCTGCTTGCATAGGTTACGCAGGTTTTCGGCTTGTTCCTGTGATGGATTGAATGGAAACCAGCAATGGAATTTGCAGTTGTTTTTGTTTTAGTTGCATTTAAATGCTGGCAGCGATTTTTACCTTGTGGAAATCTAACTTTGTTAGTTCCCGAGGCCGGTATTTGTCCACCCAAAGTGACATTTTATTTATGCATGCGAAATTTATGAGAAATCTGAGAAAAACACCGAGTTTGATTTGTTTAATTGGCAAGCGCGCCTTTTTGCACAAACTCTAGAGCTGCGAGAAACATCGATGATATCGATGGCGGTTTCCTAGTTTCGATGTTTTATCATCTCTAACAATGTCGCACTCGGCACCAGCTAAATTGGTTCAAAGAATCTGTGAACTAAGTCTTTTGTTTAATTGTATCACAATACCAGTACAATTCTTCAACCATTAATTGGATGTTTGGTATACAATTTTAAAATTGAATACAATATCTGGCATAAAGAAATCCACAGCTAGAAATTTCATTTTGAACTTAGCTCAAAAGTCTGTGAACTAGTTGCAATTTGTCGATGTTGGAGAAAAAACATCGATGCTATCGATGTTTGTGCTGCTCTATAATAAATCAACACTACTTTGCTACCACATACACAAATTCTGCGGCGTTGTGAGAGAATTGCATTAATTTTAAGGCTTTGTTGATTGAATTCGAGATTCGAGACGAAGACGCATGGAGAACGGCGTGGAAAATGGCTCACTGGTCGATGGCGACCAAGTAGACGAGTCTGGCGAGAACCAGGTGGTAAGCAGCTCTGATGGTGAAGGCGATGGGGAGGGGGATGTTCAGCAGCCGCCGCCGCTGCCGCTGCTGCAAACAACAAATAATTGCGAGGGGGGTGGGGAACGTGATTTGTCGGCGTCGAATGCAGCCGTAGCAGACCCAGATCCTGAGCCAACAACGGCAGTAGATATTGCAGCAGCCCCCGCGACCATACTAGACGACAGTCTCTGTGAAAAGGATGTGGACAGTGATGTGCCGGACGACGACAACGACGATGAGGTGAGCACGCCCACACACAACCGAACCTGCTCGTGTTTGCTCACAGATACATTTATCAATTGCAGGCCAAGGAGAACTACGAAGGCTTCAATGGCACCGTCGGACGCAACGTCACGCTTCAAACTCTGATGGCCGCCAATGTGTTGCAGCCCGGCAAGGGTCTGATGACCATCGAGTACCTTGGCCAGAAATTTGTCGGCGACCTGCTCTCCGATGGAAAAATCAAATCGCAAGAGACTGAAACGATATTTCTCACGCCCAGTGCCTGGGCTATGCACTGCAAGCGCATCATCAATCCAGAGAAGAAGAGCGGCTGTGGCTGGGCATCGGTCAAGTACAAGAACAAGAAATTGGACTCGTACAAGAACACCTATCTGCGGAAGTGTGCGCTGCAAAAGGAGTCCACACCGGACGACGGTGATCCAGGTAAAGTGTTCCGCCCAGCCTGCTACCTGACGGGCAAACTATTATGATCCGTTTTCGTTGTAGATGCAGAGCGAAAGACTGACTCCCCGGAGATAATCGTGAAGAGAACCGTTTTCGCACACAACAGCATATCGAATCGGAATATGGTCCAGTGAGTAATTTCCATAACCATTGAAAGCCTATTTCTTATGGAAATTTACTCACAGCGATGCCAACATGCTCATTGAGTCCGTGCCGTTCACATCTGTGGGTAAACTGCAGCCCTTTTTGATCACCATCAATTCGTCGGCCTTGCTGTTGGCCGACTTTCACAGCCATTTGACGGTGCGCGAGGTCTGCGGCTACTTGGGCGGCACCTGGGACATGAACACACACAGTGAGTCCGGCTCGCGCTTCCACATCTCTACAGTCTAGAGTCCAGCTCTAACCGCGTCTGTAAACTTGACTCTTTTTACAGCTCTATCAATTACAAAGACATATCCTTGCCGCAACACGCGTTTCGATCGACAGCGAGCCGGCGAAGTGGAGCGCGACATACAGAAGATGATGATCCAGGATCAGCTGTTGCTGGTGGGATGGTATCACTCTCATCCCAAGTTCCAGGCGGAGCCCACACTGCGTGACTGCGACTCGCAGCTGGACTATCAGATACGAATGCGTGGTGCCAGCGATCTTACCTACACGCCCTGTGTATCCCTCATTCTTTGTAGGCTAAATAGTCGCCCAAACCTTAGACCTTTATGCTAAATTCTTGTATCTTTTTCTTGCAGCGCCCTATTATGATGAGAATCCCACTTTGGAGTCCGTGGTCAAATGCATTTGGATAGTGCCGCCCAACGAAAATAAGCAGGCCATGGAGTATGGTCGCCCAATGCTTATGCAGTACTCGGTACTGCCGGACAAGGAGATACCCGAGGAGGTGCGCACAGAGATACAGCTGTGCGTGGACTACTACTCTCAGTATCGCGGCGAAGTGGTCAAGTTCCGCAACATCTTCAACAACGATGTGACGTACAACGAGAAGCTGAAGAACACCTTGTACCCGAAATTCCCATCGAAGCAGAGCGACAAAGCGCTGTGGAATTGGATATGTGCTGTGCTGGACTGTGAGCAAGAGGATGATTTTATACCACCGAAGACCATTAAGATTATCGACAACGATGAGCTGGATGTGAAAATGGAGACACAGCCAAGTGCTGTGGCTGTGGCTGGGGCGCCCAATGAGTCCGCTGGCGATGTGAAGCTGTCATCGGCCAAGGAAGAGCCTCTCGCCGATAGTGTGTCCTCCATGGAGGAGAGTGCACGAAAAGCGGAGGAGGAATCATCTGCACAGGCCGAGCAGAAGGCGAGGGACCTCAAGGTGATGTCGCTGCAGGAGCAGCTGTGCATGCCATCCGGCCTGAACATGAATCCAGTGCGCATGCTGTCGCCTCTGGCGACACCTAATCCTACGAGCAGTCTACCCGCCGTTCTGCCAAATCTTGCGGCACCGTCAATGCCACCGTCGGCGGCCACCAGCCAGTTGCTTCCTCCACAGACGCCCGGTGGCAGCAGTGTGGGTGTTGCTGCTGCAATCCCTCCCTCAGTCGTTACCACATCAGCCCTGACATCTGCACTGACTGCCTCGCCGCGGGATAGCCCCATTACCATATCGAACTCTGCCAGTCCGGCCAAGTTCGAGGTGCCCGTGCGAGCCTCCCCATCGCCGGCCAAATCCGACACCTCGTCCCATACGTCCACGTCCCGCACTCGAAACTCTCCGGCGCCCAGTCCGGGCAAGTTCAGTGTCAGCGATATTGCCCGCAACAGCCCCAGCATCACGCCCAACAAGTACGAGGCAGCAGCAGCGGCGGCGGCCCTGGTGCCACCAGCAGCTGCCTGCCTGCCCACCGCCAACGATCTGATGGCCGCCAGTCTGGCCCAGCTGGCCGGACAGCTCCCGCCGAACTTCCTGCAGGCGGACCTGGCAGCCCTCTTCCAGCAGCAGCGCAAGGATTACGGCAACTCTTCGCTGAATCAATTGGCAGCAGCTGCAGCGAAGGTTGGAGGCTCCAAGCAGGGCAACAGCAATGCGGCATCCGCATCAGCGGCGGCAGCAGCGGCGGCGGCTCTGGGTGGCCTGAATGATCCCAATGTGGCTGCAGCAGTGGCCGCCTACTCGAACAGCTTCAATATGCCGCTGCCCACAGGCGCGGGAGGTGGTGGGGGCGGTAGCAGCAGCAGCAACAACAACAACAGCCACAGCAACAGCAACAGCAAATCCAAGTCTGAGAGGTCCTCGAAGTCGTCATCGTCGTCATCCTCCTCGAATTCGAGCTCCACCTCCAACTCGTACAAAACGAAGCTGATGAAGGAGCTGGACGAGCTGAAGAACGATCCGCTGAAGATGAGCGAACTCATCCGCTCGCCAGAGTACGCGGCGTTGCTCCTGCAGCAGGCAGAGGCACTGGGAGCCACCACACTGGGAACCCTGGGATTCGGCTCCGACTACAGCTATCTGACGGGAGCGGGACTGGGAGTGCCTTCGGCCAGTCAGCCGTCGAACTCGTCGTCTGGCAAGTCCTCCAAGTCGTCCCCATCGACATCCGCCTCCGCTTCGGCTGCAGCAGCTGCGGCTGCCCTTAATGCGGATTACAACAACTTGATACAGGCCTCGAAGTTGCTCGGTTACGACTCCTACATGCAGCAGAGTAAGCAGAGCAACGACCTCAATGCGTTCCTGCAGCAACAGATGGCTGGACTGGCCGCCGCTGCCATTCCTCCGCCTTCAGTCGCCAGCAGCAGCTCCAAGAAGCAGCAGCAGCAACACCAGCAGCAGCAGCAACAACTACAGCAGCAGCAGCAGCAGCAACAACATCAGCTACAGCAGCAGTCGGCCCAGGCGGACTACACGGCCCTGCTGCAGACCTACACGAAGCTGTTCGATCCCAACAATCAGTTTGCGGCGGCAATGGCCTCCAACAAGCACATGGCCGGTGCCCACAACGAACTCTCGGCGCTACTTAACGCTGGAGCAGGCGTCGTCGGAGGTGGTGGTGGCGGCGGCAGCTCAAAGCAGAAGCAAAAGGACATGGGCAACGACATGCTGAACCAACTGTTGCAGCTAGAGAAGCAGGACTCGGAGATCAAGGCGCTGTTGTATCGTCAAAATAAGGCTGCCGCCGACTTGGATGCTCTGTTTGCCACACCATCGGGTGCTGTGGTGGGCGGCGGCTCCTCGTCGAACTCAATGAAGGGTTCTGGCTCGTCGGGCGGTGCTGGCGGAACGGGTGTGCAATCGCCCTCATCCCTATCGAGTCCGGCTGCCTACTATAATGCGCTGGCCCAGGAGAAGATGCAGGACTATGCGGCCTTCTTCCAGCAGCAGCATGGCAAATATGGCATACCAGATCCGCTCTCGAAGACAACGCTGGCAGCCAACAATATGTTCATGTCGCCGTCGGCGCTGTTCAAGATCCAGCAGGAGTCCCTGTCGGCCATGATGATGAAGCCACCGAAATCGACCACACCATCGTCGGCGCGCACACGAGAGTCTTCAGCTTCACCAGCCCTGGAGCGACTCACGCCAACCAAGTCGGCCACGAGCGGTGGCGGTGGCGGTGGAGGCAGCAGCAACTCAAACTCTGGTAGCAAATACAACTTTAGTGCCGTGGATCTGGCCATATCGAGCGTGCCCTCAAACACACCGTCTCCGTCGCCGTCCGATGGCAGCAGTGGCTCCTCGCACCGACGGCCATCGCCGGACTTGAGCCGCCTGTACGGCGAGCTGGCGCCACCGGGCGGACTGCTCGGCAGCGGTGTGCCCAAGAA